GTAAGCTTGAAAGTGTGGAAATCATCACATGTCAAATATGTAGTATAGAAGATATTTAAGAAGACTGTAAAATCCTAATGTTGGGGAGAAAAAGTTCAACATTTTGGGGGAAAATTTTATATTTCCCTCAGTTTTGAATTTAAATGAGAAGATTATTGCCACTCTTTTTGTTAATATATCTTTTTTCCTTTCTTTCTTTTAACGATCAGGGTGACTCTCTGCAGTCAGGGTGATGTGGTTTTAATTCTGCTCTTCACATGTTTCAGGTGTTTGAGGAAAAGAAAGTAGGGTAACTGCTGTAACAAACCTCCTGCCCTCTTTATGATCCACAGTAAATCACGTTTAATTGCAATGGCAGAAGCAGTAAAATCATATCTGCTCGTAATGTTCCCCTTTCAATGATATCCACATTTTGACCATTTTTTAATGTTTACACAACTTTATAATTTCCCTAAAACTGGAAGTCAGAGGCCCTGACTCATAAAAAAAACAACATAATTCCTTCGGTGCGTAACTTTTTTATGATTAACCACTGCGTCATGTAACGCTGACTTTAGGGTCACTCGCACATTTCCTGAAAGAGGTGGGCAGTAATTTATGCCCCCGTACACCAAGTGAAACCTGATGTTTATTCACTCCTCACTTCAGCTTCATGCTTTTTTTCCAGTCCAGGAAGCTGCAGAATGCTGTGTCACATTTGACAAATTTACCATCAGTGTTAATGCTTCTCTCTGATGAAGTCACTGAAACGTGCTCGCAGCAGTCGAGCACCTTTGTCAACAAACTTGGACATTTAATGGCCGAGCTTTCCTATAAAGTTACAACAACTACATTCTCCTGGTATACGCGATGACCTCACGGTGTTGACTTAGGCTCAGTTTTCAGGATTTGACAGGCTCAGTGGTGAAACTTGATCCGTAATCTTAAGAAAACAAAACTTGTGATTGTAAATCCCTGAAGTGCAAAGATATGACTTGATTTTTCAGACCAGAATGTGTCACCCTTTTATGGAGAGCTTGGAAATGTTGAATACATGCTGCCATCTGCAGGCCATTTCAGAAAATCTAGTTTACATTTGAGCTTCAGCTGATGCTCTGTTACAAAGGTCAAAAGAAGGTCTTATTTATAGTTCTGATTATTTTCACTGAATTAAAGTGTTTAACTGATGTGCATTGTAAAAATACAGCAACTAAGTGGTTTAGAAGGTGAGAAGAGGTCATAACGTTTTGCTTTAGTAAAAAAGATGGCACAAGCCATTCTACTGGAATGTTTATCTTTGATATAAACCTTGCACTCGTGGTTAATGCCAGATGTTAATTTTGTAATTTTGTTGTAGGTTAAACAACATCTTTTTTTTTTGGACAGGGAAAAAAGCATGCATTTATCTTATTAGCCCTGTGACAGACTGGATAAACAGAAGAGGTTGGATGGATTTATCTGTGCAAAAATTCATTTTTCAAGGAAGATTATGTAGTGCAACTAAAAGCAAAAACAAAATAGCTATTCAATTCTTACATTTATGCTTCGTGATTCTAAAAATAAATTAGCAACAATGACAGCAACACATTTCTTTCTACAAAAAGTCTTGATCCAGCCCTCATGACTTTTTATTTCCCTTCTAAGCAGCAACACTTTCCTGTTATTTCTAAAGTTTTTCAATCATTTTTAGTCCAGCCCTTATACCTGAATTCTTATAGATATGTCTTATGTGCTCTTTGCTTCTTTGTTTGTTTGTTTGTTAGCCACTTAACACTGACCTATGAGTAATTCAAGCATAAATAACTCATTATAATCATTAGATTCCCATCCCCTGTGTAATACCATCTGGATAGTATCTGATTGAAAATGGCTTCACAAACCCACAGTGACACACACTCTTAGTCATGCAGTAGATTGGCCTCCCCAGAGCCCAGAGCTCAACATTACTGAAATTTACAGTAATTTCCTGTCATTTCTATTTACAGCACAGTTACTGTAAATCTCATCTGCAGTAATTTGCAGTAATGTGGAATCATCCTGAAAACTTCAAAAGAAGAGCTGCGTTTCTCCAGAAACCTGGAGAACTTAAAAAGTTACAAGGAAGCCTGACTAAGAGAATTCTGTCTGTGTTGGAGAAGAAAGGTGGTCGTACCAAATATTAACTTTCGAACTCCTTAGAAATGTGCTTACCCTGTTTTTATATGAATGATTTTTTGTGGTTGAGTTTTATTTTTTGAAGTTTCAATAAATTGTTGCATCTTTTCTTGATTTTCCTCACAAAATGTTAAGAAATAAGAGTTGGCTCAAGACTTTTACACGCCAGAATACCTGCATGTTAAAAACACAGTTCTGATATTGAATTTGATCCATTTATACAATTTCTATGAGGGCAGTAATCCCTAACAGCAACTACTGTGACTCCTATATAAAGTTTACCTGAAATGGTCACTATAACAACAGCGTCGTCCTGGTGGCCGCTGAGCAGCTCCAGTAAAACCAGTTGAGGTTTTCTGTTCCACTGCTGAGATTTAAATGTAAAGGTGAGTGAAATTTACGAGCCTCTAAACCGTGGCGTAAGCCGCCGAGGGAGGTAAAGCTAAAGGGCAGAAGAAATTCATCTTTTAAACCCCGCATGAGATCATGACTCATTCTTTAACATAAACACTGTGCTCCCAGCTCATGCACAGACATGAACATTAGTTGTTTGGATGTGGTGGACACTTTTCGACACTTATTTTCAAATGAAGATCTCCAAAGGTTTTGAACTGCTGCTACTGCTTTGTATGTATGTTTATGTATTTTGTTAAATTCCAGAACCATCATTGCATCATTACCTTGATTCTATCATACATGAAAAGTTCTGAAGTCTTGGATCTTGTTAATTATGAGGTATTGGCAGGTCCAGGTCAAGTTTTATGAAGCATCACTAACATGTTTTCTGCACTTTGCTTCACATTTTTAGTTAGGGTGATGCTGTATCATCATTGCATATTAAACAGGTATTAAACAATGCATTTTCTGCACAAAATCTTAGATGTGAAAAAGCAACAAGCATATAGCCATCGGTCCAGTTTTAAAGAGGCATGAATATGGGGCAAAATGACAGCAAACAAAAATAAATCAACAATTTTAGCAGCTGGCAGATGTCAGCTTCCTCCCTGCTCGTTTGACCCATCTATGAGTCTAAAAAAGTAGGGTGTGATTCCTTCCACTTGGGGCTTTGCAAATCTTGAGCACTTAAAGAGCCCGTACAAAGGTTTGGGGTTTTTGTTTTGTTTTTTTAATTGCGTGAAATCTATTTGAGCAAAACACTTAAGACAGCAATGATGATAAATGAGATCAATGTCACTCCAACAACACACTCAAAACAAACAAGTTCATACTAGCAGAAACACAACAACATGCTCAGTGGAAAAAAATGGTAAGCAACACTAAGCTTTGCATTCACTAGCAATCCATTAACAGCCCGATGAAGTACAGCTGTGGGCGATCCGATTTTCAGACTGGATGGTGTTGCCACGAAAACTGAACCACAGTGAAAGAAGAGGCCAGAGGAAGGTCAGTGGGCTGATTAACTAATAGTTTGGTAGGTAAGTCAGAACCTACCTACCAAACTATTGCAAGCTTTACAACAAATGCAAACATTTTGCAGTGATGGGGTTTCCACAAGCTTTGCATTTTGGGAGATCTGTCTCATTCTTCTCAGCAGATCTGCTCAGCCTTTGTTAGTCTGGGTGTCAGTCACCTGTTAACTGTCACCCTTGGGTTCCTCCACAGATGGATCTTAATTTCTTGAACTCCAGTTCCCCATGCCCCTGCACTCTGAAGTGCTTCTTCTATCTGTATAGTTCCGTTATTCTTTCCTCATGTTCGTTCATGAATACGGCAAGGCAGGAGGAAAAGAGCTTAGACGAGGTTGACGTGAAGGAGGACATGCAGAGGGTGTGACAGTGAAGGAAGAAGAAGAAATATTTCCTTAGTTTTTAGAAAAGCATCCTCATGGCATTATACCAGTGCTACGTCTGCCATCCTTCACCATCAAGAGGCCTGCACTTGCCTGTATATTCATTTTCTTCTTATCAGAGCACATTTTTGGCCATGCTCCCATAGATCTTTAATGCAATTTAGAGAACTATGGGCAGTCTTGTGAGTAAAAGCTGTTACTTAGAGTTGTTTCCATCTAGCACTAATCTCGCTTAGCTGCGTGTCTAATAGGGAAGGACAGTTTGGCTGAACAATAACATAAAAAATAATCTGATGATTCCAAAGGTTTATCATTTTATACTTCACTACTTAACCAGCTTTCACTGGTTTCATACCATAATCTAAGCTGGCAAGGTCTTCAGACACTTCCTTTGAGCTCATGAACTGTTTTTGTCCTATGTATACTGAGATTAACCAAATGCACCACTGAAAAGTGTATTATCTTACTTTTTTTCATTGATTGTACTTAATTGTATTTTTGTATTTCCTTCATATATCTGTACCTGAGCTGAGGTGACGCAAAAATTTCCCCGTTGTGGGATCAATAAAGTCTTATCTTATTTCTATCTTATCTTAAAAACACAGGAAATCATTCCTGCCTGTGGTTATCTTTCTGTTTTTAACTTTACATTTTATATTTTGTGTGTGACATATCGGGGATATTTCTATATTAGAGCTATTTTGTAATATATTGTATTATTTAATATGGTACTTACTGTCTTGGAGCACGTGTGACCACATAATTTGCTCTGGGATTACTGAAGTATTGTGTCGTTCTGGTGTGCACTGTGTACTGGGAAAACTAGTCAGTGGAATTTCCCACAGATGGACTACAGTCAAGTTTGAATACCTGAAGGCTGAAAAGAAAGCGAAACCAGACCGCACTCTGTTTACGAGTAATCTGGAATAACAGGTAAAATACATTCAACCCATTTAAAACTCAACCTGGAAGTGTGTGTGTGTGTGTGTGTGTGTGTGTGTGTGTGTGTGATTAGATTTTAAAAATGCCAGTAAAGTCAGTCACGTGATCCCATATCTTTACAGGGTATCCGGCACGCTCTGGTCTCCGCAGCTCGGTGCTCGCAGGTGTTTCTGAAGCTTGTCAGTGTGAAATTCCTGCCATTGTTTGAGGAATGCACAAAGGGCATTTCCACTTTCCGCCGTCATGTTCCGGGCTGCATACCTCTGTAATAGGCTGTGAATGGTGACGGCAGTCAGCTGCCGCACTTGGTTTGTTCGTTCATACTTCCAGCGTTTTCGTAGATTTTTCTGCGCTCCCGTGACAAGTTTTTGTTTGTTTGTTTGTTTTCCAGTCGCGATCATGCTGAACTGTGAAGCGTTCAGGAATATAACCCTCGGACTGTGCTGTAAGTCGACAAGTGCGGGCTGGTTTGCGCGTGTGTGAGGTTTAAAGGGAATTTACGCTTAAGTGTTCCTTCCCATCCAAAACCAGCGATCGGGATGGCAGAGGGGTTATTCAGGGATTACTCCCCGGATCTAACAGAGCTGGAAAATAAGATCGGGATGAAGACACCGGAAAGTCTTCTGACCTGGATGAGAGATGCTCCAAATTGTGAAGGTGGCCGGAGGTCTGAAGTGAGCGGCAGGGAAAACCACAGCGCTGATTTCCCCGAGGCTTTATCTGACAAAATTAACAACTTAAAAAAAGAGCTGGTAAACATTTCTGTGCTCACTAATAATTATTTCCTCTGTGTGTGTATTATATGATACAGGTATATTTATAGAAAAGATTCCAAATGGAGTTTCCATCATGCGTTTTAGTGACTCACCATTACCTGTGTATTTTTCCTTGCTTGGCCAAAGCTAAGCTACAACCTGTACAACTTGTTTAGCAATCACTGTGACATGTATGAAGTGCCATTCTGAGCCACTTCACAGGCAGCAGTTTATTTCTTATGACAGCCACTCTTACCTGTGTTCTCACCACACCTGTCAGTGCCACATTCTGACAACAGATTCCTATGTTGACTCCCACCACCTTTGTTCCGCTCTAATGCAATTAAAGTGAGCATGATAGTGGGGTGGAAGGAGTGGAGAAGTTCATAGTACACACACACACACCTGTTTCTTCAGTTACACCTTAACACTCACTAACTCTGTGGCATTTAATCAGAGATGGCTCCGTTCTGCCGATGTAAGGATCCTACGGCAACTGGTGGCTTTGAACGAAGGGATCGAGACCATGCGCTGGCTACTGGAGGATAGGGGCCCTTTAACCAGTCGTGGCAGCAGTTTAACAGGAAGCCTGAGCAGCCTGGAGAATGGGCCTTTGATGTCTTCTTGCAGGTGGGTAACCAGGTGTCCCACTCTCTTGTCTCCATGCCCCACATACTAAGGCAATGTCTCACATTTTAGTGTGCAAAAGAGAACACAATACATACAGTGTATATACTATATATATATAATATATATATATATATATATACATACATACATACATACATACATGTATACATATATATATATATATATATATATATATATACATATATCATATATATATACATACATATAGTATTAATCATCGGGATATATATATATATATAATATATATAAATATACTATATATATATATATATATTATAAACGTTTTTATTGTGATTGCTGCAAGCATGCAACTTTAACAGCTTTAATGTTTTCAAAAAAGACTGTTGGGATGAAGGTGTTTAAAAAAAACCCTTCCATTTACTCTTACAGGTTATTTGTTTTACCAATGTTTAATCTGCATACCTTTGACATGTTTTATTTTAAAACTATGTGTCAGTGTTACTAATGTGTCCCACACAAACATATTTTTTGCCCCACATTTAATTTATTGTGTTCTGGTCACCCAGCGTGTTACCTATTTAGTCTTTTGAAGATTAAATGACGATGTTAAATATGCGTACAGCTGCTAAGAGGATACACTAGGAGTAAGGTAAAGCTCTTGAACTAGAATTTTCTTGCATCCCTGCAAGTATACACAAGCGGCAGTTTCCTAAATTTAGTAGCCTACAGCATGTTGGCAAAATAATGCAAGATTTTCTAAAAGCGGTTAAATGGAGAAGTTGTAGATCAAAGGATAGCCAAGGACCTTTGTGGCAAATTAAAAAACTCAACTGGAAAGACATAAATCACAAAATTGGCACATAAAATGCTGGCCATGATTTTCAGGCCTTTGCAGAAGAGGTCAAAAATGATGTGTTGCTGATTAACTCTGACCCATCAGAATAGACTTTCCTTGAGAGAAATGAACTTAAATCCTGCCTGTGACTGATGCATTTCTGTTTCTTTTCCCACAGAGAAAACCCAGACTACCCTGAGGAACTGACTGAAATAATGGGTGAGAATTCAGAGAATTCAAACCCTAAAAGCTATGCTGACATTCTCAGTTCCGACTCTAGTGAAGGAACATCTCAGAGTCCTTCCGGCTCCGAATTTTTGATCAATCATTCTGCTCCTGGAAGTTTTGGTCAGACATCATTTAGTCCAGCCAGTGGATTGAATGATGAACAACCACAGGACGTTTTTCTAACGTATTTAGCGCCAAAAGTAAAAAATCGTGGCGACACCATCAGAAGAGTTTTGCTTAGATCTTTCAAACCAAGAAAAAGCTTGGACGTGGAGACTTTTGACCCCGCTCCACTTCCACGAGAGACACAGACATTACACCAACCTCAGGAGAGTTTCACAGCATCTCACACCAATATTATAGAAAAGGAAGACAGTGAAACCAGTGAGGAGGAAGTTTTTCTAGGCTATGATGCCCGGTGGTCCTGGGTGGAATCAGAAGATGATGTGACATATGTATGACGACCTCTGAACACAACTTTGATTTATGATCTTTGCTTTAAAGCTTTTCAACTAGTGATCTGAGACGTAAAGGCACTTTGGCACATTTTTTAGAATAAGATTAAAGCCACTGACTAATGTGAAGTTTCTCTGTGTGTCACTATATACTCTGTGTGTTTGACTTGATATTTTTAAATCATTTGTTATAAATATTAAATAATTAGAAATGAATGATGTGATGAAGGTTTCAAACACCTGAATGAGATCTGAGCATCAGATTTCGTGTCTTTGTTGTGTAACCATCGGGTCTTATGTTTTGTATTTGTTTAAGTAACTTTGCTTAGCAGTTTTCTTATCTTGGATTTTATGGACACTGTGCTTTCTTTCCTAAATCTCTTGAAGATAGGGGAAAAATAGCAGAAGGTTATTTATTTTCTTTTTTTCAATTTAGAGTAAGGCTTTTTGTATTTATGAGCCTAATATATCTTTTTTATATATAATTGCCAAGACAATAAAAGTAATTTATTGGTACTCTTGTTTGTTTCTTAGAAGAAAAGCCTGAATGTTAAATGTCATTATTGGTGAAATAACTGTTGTGTCCTTATATAGTTGGGGAATACATTTTTTTTTAAGGTAAAAAGCATCGTCTAACTTGTTAAAAGAACTCCCATAGGTACTGCGGTGAGTTTGGATTTGGTGACTGCTAAAGCTGAGGCCTGTTTGACATCACTTTCAAAGTCACCAAACCATTCAGGGACACGTTTTTGCCCAGCAGATGGAGGCATTTTCATCCAGGAGCTCACTGCCATCAGGACATGTTTCTGCAAAGGTTAAGGGCAGGTGGTCTTTCACAGTGATCTGCAGTGATCCACCCCTATCAACCAATCCAATCTACTCACAAAATGCCATCACAGCATAACAGAGCCGGGACAATCTAGGATCACAGGAATTTTTTGGTCCCGCCTGCACAAATTACACCTGTCCTGAGACTAAATGTAAACTTGGTTGTGGAAAAGGTGGCTACAAAAAGACTAATTTTAATTGCCAAAGGTAACAGTTCATATAGGTTAGAAATCCACTTTTTTATTTTGCTATATCCCTCTTACTATTTTAATCAATTTGTTTAACCTCAGCATATTTTAAAGAACAACAGGAACAGGAAGAAACCAGGCTTGGGCAGAGGCAGCCAGTTGGAGGTTAACGCGAGAAAGGTGGGGCAAAAGACATACTGTGGAGCAGAGGCAGGGATTAAGTTTTAAGCCTAAAAACTGAAGGCTCTGACTTCCATTCTACTTTTGAATATCCTGGGAACCACAAGTAAGTCAGTAGTCTTTTTATTTGTTTTTCTTTAATTTATCGTGATAATCATATGTCCATTGTTAGTGGTGTAATACGTGTTAACGCAAATCCACAATTGATTATTTTAATTTTTTATTTTTTTTTGCTTTATTAGCAAAAATCTGATTTTGTCCTTTTTTATATTTACATATTGTCTCTAAAAACTAATGAAATTGCGAGGGAAATACAAAAGCCTTACATAGTATGTGTGTGTGTGTTATCCTTTCCGATAGGACGTAAACGCAACGTGACGTCATGTAGAGAAAACAGGAAGTGTTTCAAAACGTAGGGATGTCTTCTCGGGGAAGGTAAATTTGCAAGTGCAGGTGGATACGGAAGATGTAGCGACTCGGATAGTTGGGAAGGAAACATGAAAGTTTGGTTTCTATGTAGTCTCCTTTTCGTTGCCCTGACGGATTGGACATCAGGAGACGACGGTAAGTGTTTCGGGCAGAGGTCACACACAAAGTCCGACGTATTAGCACTTTTGCTAGCGGTCATGGCTGGCTTGAAGTTAACTCGTGAAAACACATGAGAGACGCACTGAGCTGCCAGCGCTAGTCAGTGAGCTCACAGTATATCTATGCAACGATGCTACTAACTGGTTATTTACCCTGGTCAAAGAAATCACTTTGTTTCTACTGGTGTATAGACATGTTTAGCCCTCATTGTTTTTGTTTTGTTTTGTTTGTTTGTTTGTTTTTAGTCTTATCTTGTCAAGTGTCCTGTATGCATTTCCTTTCTCCCAAGAATGTAAATATGTAAATATTTCTCATTGGAAATGTATAGCTATCTATATAGTGTAATTTATTTTTTATATAAGGTCAACAACGACAACCTACTCCTCACCCCACCCCAAGACACACACACTCTTAATAAACAAAAAACAAGTAAACACACAAAACCCCTTCCTTATACTGCCTCATATCTTGGTAGTATGAGTAAGAACAGTAGATCATGAGCTCAGAAATGTATGTCTACTTCTCAAGATTAAAAATGTATATTTAAATATATTAATGACAAAAATAACCCAGCTAACTTAAAAGCCTTAAGCAGCGTGTGACACGACTAACTGCCAATGTCTGCAGAGGGGATTAAAAATCCTAATTAAAGATGAAGGCGTTTTGCTGGTTAAACTAATGACATTCAGTCAGTCAGCCAGGTGTTTTATGCTAAAGTGCTGGCGCAACCTGGTTAATTTGCCTGTTTTGTTATACTGGACGTGGTCAGAACTGCCATCAGTGCTCTATTATGAAAGCTTTCCTTGCCACTGTGCTATAGGAGTTATTAATAAGGAGTTATTAATGAATAACACTCCATTTTCTCTACATCCCACATGTTGGCCAAGGTTCCTAAGAGAACAAAACTTATCTGTTATGATGCTACATCACTGAAGCCTGTTTACTTGCCCGTGCCAGCTGTGTTGCCACACAAAAAGCATATCGTAACTGGTCTCAGAGCAGTGAAAGCTGGGCCAGTAGCAGTTAGATGCTGGTCTCCCTTAAGTTTAGAGTCAAAGACCAGAGATTTATCCATAATGTGTTATGTGCAAATGACTATAAAAAAGGCTGCTGGCCTCTCAGCTTGTCCAGCTCCAGTCACTGTTAGTGGGGAACAGGGACTCGCATAAAATGGAGACAGCTACAGTTTCCTAAGAACACAAAACAAGCGCACCTGTAATTGTTAAGTGCAGCCACAAGATGTAATGTAAAGGATGGATGCACACACGTGAAGAGCTTTTTGACAGCACTGTTTGAGATGAAAGGGGAGAGATAATTGTCATTGGTAGATTTTAAATATGCCTATTCTTGATTGGACAAGGGGAGCACTGCTTGCCTTGCTTGTCCTGACGGAATGCCACCGCTTTAGTGTGCGTCTCCATGTTTTGAGAGAAACTCCAAGATGATAAGGTGAAAGACTGTCTTACTATTTTTCCTGCAGATGGGCAGGTGACATTTGTGTCAGAGCTGTCATCCAAACCTGCCCAGAAATTATCAAAGTATGGCTGGTACGGGAATGCGAGGCTGCAGAGGTTTCACATACCGGAGGAAACCGCCATCGCTCGCTGGCTCTTTTCTGTGACAAAGGGCCACAGTTTCCACTGCGGGAGGCATAATGTCACTATGTAAGCTATGAAGTTTATTAATAATGACCTTTTGAGACTCCTTATAATGTATTTTATCCCCCCTAATCTAACCTTATGTTATAACCATTTTGCAGCTATATTCGATGGGGTGCCCCTCCTGTTATAAACCCCACAGGGCAGGAGTTTCCCAATACGACACTGTGGACCCCCTGTTTGTCTCTGACTTTACCTGTAATCTCAGAGAACTCCACAACTTTTAACCTCTCTGACCCTGCCCCAGGTGATTGGTATGTTGCTGCTCACTTGCCTGAAGATGATGGCCGCATTGAACAGAAGGTTGGTATAGAGCAGCATATGGTGCATGTTGCTGCTGCTGATGCCACAGTTAGGTTAGCCACAATTTTTCTTCCCTGATCCAGTGCATTAAAATTTCTGTGACGTTACCAGGAGTATATGGAAGAAAGAACTGGTTTAAATTTTCTTGGCTGTTTCAAATTGTCATCTAATTTTAACAATTATGTAACCTTTGTACTTGCATGAGGGTGAGGGGGGCAGGCAATGTACATTGTTAGTATTCTGGTCATGTTACACAGGTACTCACAATTTCCTTTATCACTCTAACTTGATATATGGGAGCAGGTTTTTGGTTTTGTTTTTTCATGCTAAACCGGCTGAACCACGTTCTTTGGCTCTGTTCCTCCTGCAAAAGAGTTTTCTTACTTATCATTTGATCTGTTTACATTTTATCTTAAATCTCTGCATTGTGTTGGTGTGCATTAGTTTCCTATTGTTCTCCTGTAATCACCTCCTCTTATTCACTTATTCAGACTCTGAATGGCGTCCATCTGTGTAAGAAGAAGTGTGCAACACAATGTCTTTATTTATAGACCTTTGTTGTCTGTCCTTATCTGTTAGGGTTTTCCTTCCTGCTCCTATTTCTTCCAGCCTCAATTGTCAGTTAGGAGAGCAGTGGACACACCTGTTTTGCAGAACGGCATATTCCTGACACAAACTGCAGCCCCTGACAGACCTGCACGCCTTAAGTAAGAAGTGCATGTTTTATTTCCTGTATTTCCAGTCTTTGCACATTTTTTCCTTGCATCAGTCAGAAGACCGTAAGTGTGTGTATTTTGTTCTCTTGCTCTTAGATTGTATGTTCCTGAGTTTGCCTCTTCCCTTTCGGTTTCTGTGGCTGGCTGTTCATCAGAGGAGGGAACGGAGATGGGAAACTGTTTCCTGGTCCTCAGGCTTGGCTCAGCTTCTCTGCAGCAGGGCCCAATAACAATGAACTGCTCAGGGTTTAGCTGCTCTGCAGCTCTCTCTAATCCACCTTGGGACACCTGGATACGAGTTGTTATTGAGAGCACCCGAGCCAACCGTACTGTTACCTTCAGCGTTGTCTCAAACTACACAGGTGAATTCAGAAATATGTACACTGAAGTATGTACACACATTACACCTGTGTTTGAAATCACTCTTTACTCAATACAATATATAAACTACGCTGTGGGCCCAAAACATCCACCAGTACCTTAAGAAAAATAGTCTAAAATATGGTCACTCTCTCATTGCATCATCATGAATGAAAAGAAAAAAAGAATCCTGTCAAAAAATAAACCCACATTTCTTTTCGCTTCCACTTTGACAGTGAGTAAGAAGTGCTGAATGAGTGCATGATTCCAGACACAACCTGTATTTCTGTTCTAACACATTTTCTTGTGTATCCATTTTGCTTCAGTGGGATGTAAGCCAAAAAGTCTTGGCCTCAAAGCAGATGATGAGATCTTTAAGCTCCACGGCAACAGCAGTTATAGCAACTCCTCATCATCAAGCAACAGTTCAGTGCTTGCAGACACAGGTGTCTTCAGCAATAAATCGTTTTCATGGATGTCACAGTTGCTGGGGTCAGCGTGTGTGTGGAGCATCCCTGTGCTGTATGAGGAGGTGGATGTCCTGTCACTGCGATTCACCCCCGTTGGTGGAGCCAATGTTAGCGTTACAAATACACACCCCACGCTGCTCACATACCCCCTGCACGCGCACGCCAGTGGTGGCACACTCAACGTGCAGCTCACACTCAACTCTGTGAGTAACATTGAATCGCTGTACTTGCATAGACAGATTGGAAAGTCACAGAGTTGAGCTTCTGTGGAGATTTGCGTTGATACATGCGTCTGTGTTGTGTTTTTTGTAGACTAACATGACATTGGGAAACAGCAGCAGTGTGGTTGCATGTCTCTCTCCCTGGACTCCAGTCCTTGAACTGAACCACTCTCAGTCGTGTCGCACAGGTACAGTAGCACTGATTCAAATTCACACACATCAAACACCAGAAAACATTGCTTATGCCTAATTGATCAGAACGCTTTGATGAAGAATTGCATACAAATGTCTTAATTTTTGTAGATAGATTATAAATCAGCTGAAAATTTTTCTGTTTAAATTGTTTTTACATAAAGTTCAAGTGGTTTTCTATTACAATTCACTTTGTTATCATGGCTTATTTAGTGTAGCTTTATGGGATCTCTTAAAAGTGTTTCATCCATTTGTCATAGCTGTGGCTCAGGAGGTAGAATAGGTCATCTTCCTATCAGAAGTTTGGTGGTTTGATTACATGGTGCAAGTCAAGGTGCCCTTGTGCAAGGTACTGAATCCTGAGCTGCCTAAGATTCTTAGGTATAGAGAAAAAAAAGCAGTTTTGTTATTGGGTGAATGACTAGGAAGTAATTTGAGTACTGTTGAAAAGTTCTATGCAATACCAGTTCTTTTATCATTTCAAACAAAATCTAACACAAAAAGGTATAAATTTCAGAATTCACAGTGGGTCTGATTTTTAGATGACAATGTGTCCTGTAGACAAAACAGTATGTTGTTGATTTGATGACAGATTTATTTGGAGGTTATGGTGTTGCTGTGAATGCCAGCGTTCCTAAAGCTGTGGTCAGGCTGCCTTTTCCTCAGTCAGCAACGTGGTACCTCACCCTGCAGCTTATATGCAACAGGTAAGTACACACACACACACACAGCAGTAGCAGACTGCGTTCAGTTATTCAACTTTTCGTGCTTCAGATATTTTTGAAATGTACACTAAATATGTACCAAATCTTACATTTTAGAAGTTTGAAATTTGATGAAATGAGGTGTCATTCATTTATTCATACTTTGTGTGTGTGTGTAATGTATGTATAATATTACATGCATGTGTTTGTGCTTTTTCTTGCAGCAGTAACTGTGGTAACGCATCAGTGGTGTCTGTGACCCCAGAGGTGTTCCTCAGTGCCTGTGTAGAGGACTGTGGGTTATACGGTGAATGTAGACTTCTGAGATCTTACAGCTACCTGTACGCTGGATGTGTATGCAAGGCTGGTACGCCCACACACACACAGGCACACACAGTCCGTCTCCCCTAAGAAAAGGCCTTGTTAAAGTTGTAGTAGAAGCACTAAAAATATTAACCTATGTCTTGCTGCATGTTCAGTCATCCAGGTAAGGAAATCCCAAAAAGTCGATTCTGTTCATCTGGACGTTTTCAGTTTCGTCACTCATCCAAGTGACTTCTTCAGTCTCAGCTGACTACAGGTTTCCCCAATCTTATAAACAGTAAATTTCTTAAGGTACTGTTTTTCAGCAATTCAGTTTTGAGCAATTTGACTGAAAATCCTCCAGAAAGCACAGAGTCAGCTGCTCAATGAATGGGTGAGACAAACAAATTTTTACCGTTGATGTGCTAAAATCAACAGAAGAGCAGATCCGATAGAGACTTGCAATGCTTCTAGATAAGAAAATCCTTCAAAAGGTGTTTGAATTCACTGACAGCATGAAAAGTCTGAGACCAGGCAACAAAGGACGTTTGACCTTTTTGTTGTGTGTCGGAAACCAGAGCAAAATACGGAGAGTGTCCTCAGTGGCCAGAAGAGAGGAGGACGCCACACTGAGGATGTGGACAAGTGGGTGAACAAATTTGTCTGACAGACAACTCATTCAAGCAGAGAAAAACATCCTTCCAAAAGGGTTGATCTTTTGCTGTGATGCAGAGAGAAATCCCGCTAGTGGACTGATCACAGCCATTCTAAACAACAACATTGCAGACGTGGAAGCAGAGCAGCTACGGACTAAAGTTTTGGCTGGTCTCAGCAACGCAAATCCCCCACCATCCAAAATCAGCACAGAGGAGAGGAAGGCACTCATATCGCTTAGTAATGACATCAACAACATCATCGTCTCAAGGGTAGGTGGACAGTTTTGCTAAAGCAGAAGACTATCGTGAGAAAATACTGTCACCGCTCACTGAAGAAGTGGAGGTAATTCATAAGTGATTACAGGATGACCCCAACCTCAGCAACAGGACCACTCTCAGCACCGACCACGTGTGTTTGCTTTTGGAACTGTGTTTTAATTCCACCTATTTCACATATAAGAGTCAGTACTACAGGTAGAAACATGGGTGTGCCATGGGTTGCCCAGTTTCACCCATTGTGGCCAACTTTTACATGGAAGAAGTGGAAAATAGGGCTTTGTTATCCTACCCTGGAACACCACCAAGTCATTGGTTCAGGTATGTTGATGACACCTTAAGATGTGCCACAATTCGCTGATCACATTAACTCGGTGGACCAACACATCAAGTTCGCCAGGGAGGATATGAAAGTGGCAGGGTAGCCTTCTTAGGCTGTGAGATTTCATTGGGGACATTTAAAAGTTGATGTAAACCTACACATATGGATCAGCATTTAATGTTTGACTCTCATCATCCACTGGAACATAAACTGGCTGTCATTAGGATGCAACAACACAGACCCAACACCATCCCCACAGATACAGCAGCCTGGGAAGCAGAAGAACATTGTCACTGATTAGTGGTTGTTGATCTATGGTCGTGATAATTTGTATATAAGTGATCCAGAAACTGACCTCACAGCCTGTTGTTCATCGGTGGTGTTAGTCTCAGTCATTGTGCAAATGTAGTGTGTATAAGGGTGTGGAAACCTGCAGTCAGCTCAGACTGAAGAAGTCACTTGGATGAGTGAACAGAATCAACTTGTGTCACTGCAGCTTATATTTCACTAATATTAAAATTTTTCGAGATCTCCTCCTTAAAAAATTACAGTCATGCATTTATTTATTTTCACTGTGTGCAGGTTGGAGTGGTTGGGGCTGCACAGATGATTCAACAGCTCAGTCGTATAGTCACCAGTTGTTAGCAACTCTGTTGCTCACGCTCAGCAACTTGGCTTTCCTGCCTGCCATCGTGGTTGCAGTCAAACACGGTTACATCACCGAGGCCTCTGTCTACCTCTTCAGCATGTTTTTCTCCACGGTAAAACATTCAGGAACATGCATGTACCTTTTTATACATGTAGACATACTTACGAGTGTGTTTCTGATACATAAATAGGTTTAAGAGTCGATTGTTATTGTGTGGGTTTGTGTAAGAGAGGAGACTGTGAGCTTTCCTGTTTCTGGACTATTCTTACATAGTTTGTAGGTGGTACTGAGATATTCAGTAAACTTGTCACCAATAAAGATGATGCAAAAATAGTAATAAAAAAACCAAGATGAGCATCAGCAAATAATACTAATCTTAGTTTAAACGGTGATATCTGCCCTTACTGTCATTGTTTCCCTCTTGTTTGTAGTTCTACCATGCTTGTGACCAGCCGGGCATTGCAGTAATGTGTATAATGGAGTATAATACTCTGCAGTACTGTGACTTCCTAGGATCCATCTGCTCCTTCTGGGTCACCATCCTGTGCATGGCTCGCATCAGAAACGCATTCAAATATGTAAGATGCTGATTCCTGCCTCTTCTTTCATACTGTTGACACACTCTGCTAAGGATTGGTATGTTTTAAAAGGCTGTGTGGGTTTTTCTCGCCCCTTTGTGTGTGTAGACTCTGTTCATGCTCGGGACTCTGCTGATAGCCATGTCAATGCAACTGGACCGCACGGGCCTGTGGAACCTGCTGGGCCCCATCCTCTGTGCCATACTGATCATGGTCATTGCCTGGGTAAGAGACGCATTTTCCATCTGTTGCAGATGTTGATTATATTTTGGACAGTAATAAAGCAGTTTTTCCTCTTCTTTTCTGTTTACAGGTGCGCAAAGGGGTCCATCGACGACATTGTTACCCGCCCTCTTGGAGGCGTTGGGTCTTCTACCTGATCCCGGGGGTGTTGTGCGCCTTAATCGGCCTGTGTTTGTACACTTTTGCTGAGACAGAGGACAACTACTATTACACACACTCGCTGTGGCACATCCTGGTGGCGAGCTGCGTTGTGTTACTGCTGCCACCAAAGAAGAAAAACAGGGAGAAGTTTGGCTGGAGTAGTGGCTGGACCCTGAACTGGAGCTGGAGACCCCGGGTTTGTGGATACACTCTCTGTGAAGGCAGCAAAGATGAACTCTACACTGTCACATAGTAGGTCAGGAGATGTTATGTCTAGGTAGTGGCTGTTTGACACCCTTAGACTTACACGAGCATCTGATCCCTGCTGGTGTTGACATTTTACAAAAAAGTTTCCAAGCAATGTATTTTAAAAATCAAAGTGGACCTATATTCTCTTGGGTCCGCAGGTTTCTTACTCATAATTGCATTAAATTAAGTCTTAAACAAAACATGCACAAACACATTTGAAACCTCCACAGTGGACTATTTGATCAGCGGTTCATTGCACCAGCTTAATGTAGGGTTGAGCAACAAAACCTTAGACTTTATGCCCAGGAGTTTATGTGCTTTGCGTATGTTTCACTAGTGTAGGACATTAATGTTTGAAATATTTATAAAGAACTCTTTTAAGTCTTTATATTTAGTCTATTGACACGACTATGTTTAGATCCATTTGACACATGCTTGATCTTTAACTAACAGGTAGTTTTAATGCTAGCTTTTTTTCACGGCTGCTACGCTCTATTGTGCAGTTGTCCAAGTGCAATTCGCAAGAAGACAAATTTATTAGACCATTTAAAACAAAACAACACCTTTGCCAAAGTCTGCTTATTACATTTTTCATGCCTTAATGTTCAATTCAGTCTCCTAAAGGGCGTTGGACTCACAATTGACAGTTTTATAGTATCAAAATGACCACAGCTAAAACCACAGGTAACAGCATCTTTTCATTTGCCCGTTCTTCTTTCTAGCACCTACACTACCCACAATGCAATGCAACACTTGCACAGTCAGTTGTCCCAGTAAAGAGATTATCTTTGACTCCATACACAAATATATAATATGGTACTGTAAACAAACTTTAATGTATAAAGTCAGTGTGATTCCTTTTTAACTTGCACTTAAGTTTTTGTCCAAACAAAAACTGTCTTGACCCTTATCGGCTTTGCCGTCACCCCAACAGACTTTGAGTTAGATGATATAAACAGGTGGGGAAATGTAAGTGTAAAGCAATGTAGTAAATGTTAGCATTGTAGCTTTACATCACTATATCTGAATGTTCAAATGTGTAACGTGTATCTGAACATTTCTACCCTTAAGGATGTTTATAGCCGAGTGTGTTATTTTTGTGAACTAATGAAAAAGACTTGCGCACAACTTTGTAGTTGCACACATGTTTGAGTTTACACAGAACTCCTCTCCTAATGAATCTACCAGTTTAACTTAGATTATAAAGTGATATAAACGGAGAGCAGACCACACTGTCATTTTTAGTGCTTGCTGTAACCACGGTAACAGCACAGAAGACTCCCCTTTTTATTCTTTTATCGTTGCTCGCATATTTTTCTGACAGGTGCACATTGCAAAACAATGATGTCAGACTTTTGGCAGTGGAACTTTTCCACACCAGTCACATGGCTGGCTCTGTTTGCTATTCTGTTTCTAAAAACTATTCACAGTGATAATAAAACGGCTTTACTGATGCTAAATCCTGTGTAGGTCTACATTGTTCCCCTCAGACGATATGTCAAATTCAGTAAGAAAATTGGTAAAGGATGTCGCCTACAAGCAGACCTGGCAATGGGATTGGTGTCATTAAAATCATAACCAAAGTCGTCCCTAGTTATGGGCTACATAACTAGGGATACAGCTCATAACTATAAATGTGAGTTTCACAGATAAAACTGAGTTCACTAACAAATGCATCTTTTACTGGAAGTTATCCATGCAAGTCTCTTTCTTTGTTTACAGATCTGCTTGCTGATACAAAAAAGGTCTCACATGTAAATGTTTTACACATTCAGATACGGTAATACACAGCCAGCGTACTTAGGGCCCCGTTTTGTTTCCATATTCCGTTTGATTTTCATAATCATTGGTGAACTAAGTAACGCCGTGTCCTTCTTTTAAGCTCTAATTCCGTTAAATTCTACTCCAAAACCACTTCCTGTATTCACCTGACGCACCTTATGATTAGATGCAATGTATATAGCTACTGATATTACATAGCAGAGCAATCCAGTGTTCATAGTGTGCAAAGTGGAACTCATTGAATGTATATTCAGAATTTAGTCTTGTGCCTCTTTGTGTACTTTGTATGCCTGAATGTGTGTTTTGTCTCTTCTACCAATAAGGCTGCTGAATACTTTCCATACTGTTTTATGTAAGATGTACACACTACTTTACACTTTGTCTAGTGTGTTGCATACTGTAAGGGTTTTGCACTTGGTTTAAATTGAATGTTTCCTACTAACACTCTTGCATTCCCTTACTTTTATTGTTGTAATGCTCTTTTTCTCTCATGTATTAGCGCGAATCACATTGTTGAATAAGTAGGAGGATGAATAGGATTTCTTCAATCGCAACACACTGTTGCTCTCTTAATGTGTAAACATGGAAAAAATGTAATGTTCGGCATCAGAAATGATTTTATTTCCCTGTACTGTTAGTCTGTCAAAAACCCAAACAGCATTTTAACCTACCAAAAATAAATCCATGTGTAAAGAACATAATTTCATTTGTTGTCAATGCTTTTTATGTGGCTGCTCTTTTCTGTTCCTAAGGCGAAGACACTCCATCGCCAGCACTTATACTTGGATAGCAGAGAGGGGATGGGGAAGAGAGGGAAGCAGATTATCCTAATCCTCAAAAATGCTGAAAGTGTGTGTGTGTGTGTGTGTGTGAGAGAGAGAGAGAGAGAAAAAGAAAAAGTATTTCCCCCTTTCCATAAATAGCTTCCCTCCATTAGTAAAATTGATGGTCCTGCAAAGCTTAGAGATCAAAACATTAAGCTGAACTGCTTTGGTGTGGTTAGCGTGTAGACCTACCTTCGGAAAAAAGTGTGAAGAATTTAAAAGCCTGTTTTTGGTTGGGGGTTTTTTTTGTTTTGTTTTTTGTTGAGTTGCACTTCAAAAACTGTGGAATCTACACTTTGTGTAATATATAAACTTTTTTTCTCTGTAATCCTGTAAACTTTGGAGGCTTGGTTCAGATCTATAGAGCTGAATGAAGCTTTCACAGGCTGAAAGAAACACTACAGTCACACTACGGATAACCTTGGTTATGCACAACAGAAAATTATTGCAACTGTGTGTTTGTGATTTTGTTGCCCATGAAATGGTTCCTTCAGAGTTGGGGACCAGGTCTGTGACCACTTACAGTTAGTTGGCGTCTTTTGGTGCATTGAGACGGTAATGAGACAAAACCAGTCTATCAGTCTGCAGCCGAACTAGGCAACTGCATGCAATCTGCAATACCAAATTGATTAACCTTGATAAATGTGCAAAACCCAGTAATAACCACAAAATAGCTTCAGTGCTTGAAATGCAAGCATTTGGCATCAAGCCGAGTTGAGTCCTGTATATCAGACTAGTTCCACTCATCAGTGCAGACTGGCCTGAAGGTGATTGGAGTCAGCCTGAGTCAGACTATGATTGTTTGCAGGGTCTTAAGGTGTAGATTTTATTTTACACATTACTTTCACATCTTCAGACTTCAGATAAAATGTGCTGAGAAGGAAAAGGGTGCTCACAGCTCAGGGATCACACCTGCCACAAAGGATCACAGGCTGTAGTTTTTCCAGGAAACTTGAAAACATGTTGCTTTGGTCACATGCAGCCAGTAGAGGGAGCCAGCACAGAACAGTTATTATTATAAGGAAGTAGAAGCAACAGAAGTGTTACAATAAATAATGCAAATAATGAGCCTTTTAGAGCTCCTGCAGGTAGCCATAGGAAGGGTTAAATGACCGAAGGTACAAATTTCAGTGGGAACATTTGTTTATTTATTTTCTTACTTTACTTTTTCTGGGGATTTAAAAACTTAAACCATGAAATCGATTAGCAGTGTGTGGTAGAAAGAGAGGAAGGAAAAGGTGCTCTAAAACCTGGTCGCTGATCCACACACTCACAGGTACTCACAGCATGCAGGGCTGAGGCTGGAGCACCACACTAACTGCTGTTGTGACATTTTATTGAGTTGAGAGCATGCTTGAGAAAAGTGAAGCGCAACAACAAACGCAATGTGCAGCTCCAACTGCACAAGCAAACTGCCCAACAATCCCAGTCACACTGAGGCAGATCTCTGAAGAAATATCATGTTACCGACGCCTTTACCTAAACCGGCTCAGGATTCTATAGAAAAAGAACACTTGATATGGGGATCATAGGAAAAACTATTCAGCACACTGTGATGGGATGAGGATGCAACAATAAAGGGTGTAGAAAAAGCTCTTCTCTGTGGTTCACTGGTTGTCCTTCAGTGGCATGCTGCTCAGGTGTGCCATGACACCTGTTTCTCAAAGCTCTAGTGATGTTGTTGCGGCGTACGAGAAGCTCTGTTTGACTTTAAAGAAAAAACTCAGACAACAGAGAGTAAAGCGACCGAGTCTTTCTCTCTTTTTTGGGTTCTTTTTTTTGGCCTGGATCAGAAATGCGAGCCAGCTGCAGAGTTGGCACCTGCCCCCTTGGCAAGGCCTTCTTCCTCTGCTGCCTGGGTGGCAGTCTGAGCAGGGGAGGGGCTAGAGTGCCTTTGGCGTCTCATGAAGGGGAACACACTGACGGGAAGGAGAAAAGGGAAATGCGCTCATTAAATGCATGCTTAAATATGGATAGAGGAAAAAAAGTAGGATGAGTATAAAAATGTCACCTTTTCTTGGTTTCCTGGGGGACGATGGCTTTGGCCAGCATGTTCTTGTACAGGTCAGACTTGAGATACCTTGGATAGGAGTCCTGGAAACAGACACACATACACAAAAAGAAGCTTTTAGCTCATGGGAAAGAAAAGATGGACTTCCACATGAGTCAAAAAAGTATGTTTTTTTGTTTAAATCTGATGTTCAGAAACAGGAAAAGGCAAGTCACACATTTATTGTACCCAACCAAAGATTTGGAGAGCAAAAGGTAGAAAAACAAAAATTGCTTTCTGGCTTCTTTTTAATGCGTTAATTTACTTTCCTGCTGAGGGTAAGAAGGAAAGATCAATACACTCTCATATGTCATGCAATATGAAGCCAGAGCAAAGAGGTATCCAGCTTAGCTTGGCATAAATACTAAATACACACTGAAACAGCTTGGCTCTGACCAAAGGTGAAGCAGCACTTCTAAAGCTCACTGGTATGAAACTGATATTGATCCTCTCGTCTGACAAGGAAGCAAATGAGCTTTTTTCCCAAGCTGTATTCCTGTAAAGCAGGACTCACCTCAAAGCACCATTACAATCTAAAAAACAGACTGTGCATACAGTAATGTGCAAATATCTTGAGCCACCCCTATTTTTTTTTATATATTTTGCTAATGTAAGTAGGTGATATAGTATGTAAGGCAGAAAACAGACAATTCTAACAAGCTTGAAAGTCGTTCTGTGGTATGTCCACCTTAAATCTCCAACACCGTCTGAACTTTGGGGAGGCCAGTCCATGCCTGATACTGTTATACAGTTTGTGTTTTACTATGCAAGTGTAATTTTGCTGCATTTGGGATCATTGTCACGCTGAAAAACGAAGTCATTGCCAATTAGCTGCTTTCCATGTGGTATTGTAAGGTGAATCAAAATTTGTGCATAAAAGTATTTGAAAATGAAGTTTTCACTGATTTTTAGTTCAGTTTGTGTGTCATTTAGCAAAGCTCGGCCTTTTGAGGCTTATTGACAGCCAGGCTTGTGCTGAAAAGGCTTCAGTGCATAGTAAATGATCGACTACATGGCCAGATGCATCTCTCGGATCCTGTGTTGGGTCTTTGCTGGACTTTTTTCCTACTCCTCAGGGGCATGGCTTTCACATACTGTTCATCTGCTGTAGATGCAACAGTTTAGACCAATTTAAAACAGGTTCTTTGCTAAGTTGTCTGTCATGTGTATAAACACTGGTTCGTCGCTTGAGAAATTGCCTTTGTGATGCTTGAGTGATTCACAGGTCAGTGTGAAGCAGCTTAACAAACAAACAACATTTCTCAGAAAATGGTCAGGTACAAGGACTAGATTGAAAATAAGTAAGAAGCAAGCCAATGTCCAAAGAAAACCCCTGCAAGACCTTCAGAAAGCCTAGAAGAGCAATTGATGAAGACCACTTTAAAAAAATGACAAGAGTCTGGCTTCTTAGAAGCAAAGTATAAAGAAATGGTTCAAGACTTTTGCACATGACTTCATAACGTTGCATAATTTTATTATAATTTGTGGGATAAAGGAGAGAGATACCGTTTAATAAATACAGAAAAGCCACGTCAGGTGAAAAAGTATAAGAAGGATCTGTGTTCCATATTCATGGCTCGCGCTTGCTTATAATGCATTTTTTATGGTTGATGGTAAGTGCTGTTACATAAAGGTACAGTGTGTGGGTGGGTGAGTCAGAGGTCAGACCTTCTTCATGAGGAAGTAAATGTGCATCTGCGCGTCGTCCATGACAAAGCGGTGCGGCCGTTTGATCCCCTCTAAGGTTTTATCCATTGTCTTGCTGTCGATGTTGACCCAGCGGGCCGCTCCAGGAGCCAGGAAATTCCTGGGTTACATAAAAGATGAGGTGCTCATCTTATGAATATGTAACACATGCATGTGTGACATGGCTGTCCACTTACTTGTAGATGTCCTCCACTTTCTCTACGATTTTGGAGCTTTCTCCATGTCTGATATCCTCACACGCCTGCCAGAAATACAGGTTCTCCGCTGAGAGCGGAGAGACACACGGTGAGGAGCTGCGTGTGTGGTAAAACAACACTGATGCAGGAAAATGTGACACACGGCAAGAGCCTTTTTATAGCTGTGGAAAGAGTTCCTACTGTACGCATGCATGGGTGAGCAAATCCCTCTCCTGTGTTTTGCTCATGCCTCCCTCTTCTCCACATCTCACTCTTAAATGTGGGCCTTCCTCTCCTCCATTCGTCTACCTTTTAACTTTGCCACATCTGTTTGTGACCTCTTCTGTATTTGAATTCTTCTTCTAATGATTTAAAAGATTGTTTTAATTGATTGCTGCGCAGCGCTTCAGCCCACGTCTCTGGTGTTTATACAGGACACATAAATATATTGAATCTCTTTTTCCACTGTCTCGTCTTTTCCACCTCTCACCGCCGGGACTGGAAAATATCATTAGGAGAGATAATCAAATTCGGAATAAAGCTGATGTGAAAAACAATTAAATAGATTTTCCATGTGTAATATTGTAACAATCTATACTATATTCCTCGTATTTCACGCATATTTTACACCTGTTATGCTCATTTCCAGCTGCAGTTTCAGCCTCGACAGGGACGTGGCTGAAGACAGGGTATGGGAGGACACCTCTGGTGCCTGCCAACATTGTGTTGTATTGATGCAAACATGAACTGAAAGTGCAGGTGGATACAGACATTCAGACGTGCTTTACTGGGAAAATGGGTTATGGATCACTTTAAACATAGCTATGCAGACACAAAGTTTTGCAGTTTTGCCTCTGCAAACCACCAAAGTGCCAGGTCTTCATTGCTCAGACAGCATTTAATGATGTCCATGGGTTCAAGACTTCAGGTGGTCACTGACTAAATCCATGTAATAAAAACAATCCGTCTATTCTCTTCTACTTATCTTTGTCAGGGCCACAGAGGAGCTGGAGCCTAACCCAGCTACCGCAGTGCCAGAGGCAGAGTGCACCCTGGACAGGTCGCCAGTCTGTCGCAGGGCTAACTCATAGAGAGAGACAACCATTCACACCTATGAACCAAACCCCACTAACTGCATGTCTTTGGACTGTGGGAGGAAGCCCGAGTACCAGGAGAGAACCCACGCAAACACAGGAAGAACATCCACAACAACTCCACACAGAAAGGCCCTGGCCTGATGGTGGACAGTGCTAATCACCGCACCACCGTGCCGCCCTACAAAAACAATCCTCATATTTACAATTAGTTTTGTTCGTACAAATTATTTTGAGCCTCTGAAAATGAGGGCTAATGTTTAAAAATAATTTTTGTTAAACTCCTTGAATTAAAGCTGAAAGTCTACACTTCACTCACTATTGAGTGTTTCATTTTAAATTCACCATGGTGGTGCACAGAGGGGAAAAAACTACAAAGTCTGTATCTTTGTCTAAGAAATTATGGACCACAACAGTGATAGTGAACATAATAATATGAATGGTATAACAAGTGCATTTTGTTTTTTTATCCTCCAGTATTCAAAGCTGAATGCTCCATATTTGTAATCGGTTCCCTCGCTCCTGTTTCTCACCACTGAATTCCTTCTCCAGGTAGGTCATGAACTCCCTCCTCCCCATGGCATCGTTGAGGAGCTCCATGAAGCTGAAGCTCCAGCGTTCTACTCGTAGACGCGTCGGGACCGGCACTCTGCTCAAGAAACGCACAAAAAGCAGAAATGTTACGCTGGATGTAGGATGCTGAGCTCATTTGTAATGTAACACGCTGATGTTTCTGTAGCGCTTTCATAGTCTCAATTACTACTTAGTGTTAAATAAGTGTAAAGTGTCTTAGTGTAAAATAAGGAAAAGCATGATAAGTTCAGTACTTCAACTGTGAGAAAATATATATGATCTAACACGCTGCTGCTACATGACTCGATGAAGTCTTGAACGTGTGGAGTACTGTACTGTGTGGACTGGTTATAATCTCTGCATTGTCTCACATTTCTGCGTTCATCGTCCAGTGCGCGGTGTCATCAGAGATCCAGGGGTTACTGGGCAGGCAGCCTTGCATAATGGGATCGTGGTTCAGGTACTGCTCGCTGTATTTCAGAAAACTGCACATCCACGCACAAGTGCAGTGGCATGCGCGCACACAAGAACACACATGCACGCACACACACACACGGTATTATTGTATTAGTCCTGCAGATCATAAGAGTTAATGGCCACTAATTCCAACTCGCCCCGGGAAGCATCCATTAGTGGCTCTTCTAGAGGGAGCGCTAAGCTTTATGTGCATGTGTGTGCGTACTAGAAGACGCCGAGTTTGACCCGGGCAATCAGACGTCTATTATGTGTGTATCTGTGCGTGTCTGCATGTGAGCCTTTAGCAAACTGACACATACCCTTCTAGGCAGATGGATGATTTTACACGGTTTCTTCCAAGAGCCTTTCTACAGGCTTCAATCTGCAAACAAAGGCAGGAGGAAGAACCTTTTATGTGCTCTATACACTCGTACTTAATCTGATGGCATCTAAATTACGCGCTGTACTTACCTCTCTTTTGTAGTAGTCACTGTTCTAGTTCTGTAAAGAGTAACACAGGGTCATCGTGTGAGGTCACACATTAAACCTTTATATAATGTATGTTACAGTTATAGAAACATATACATTTGAGGATAGCTGCCTTGTGACCAAATGTGTCACAGACACACAAACAGTAGCATTAAATATATAATTTTACAAACAATGACAGCCTAGTATGAGATTACAGACTAACATACTGAATTATATTTCCCATTTGGGACGACAGACGCGACTGACTCTACCCTGTCATCTCAGGTCCTCGACTTTTTAACCTTGATTTACAATCATCATCATTATATTCATTCCTAATACACTGCAGGTCTGCGGTAAACTTACTTTCAAACGATCCCAGTGGCAAGAAAGAACAAAAGGAGGCGATTAAACACGGAGTGAAAAGTTATATCGTTAATGCATTTTTTTTAAAGCAGGAAGTAGAGAAATACAATGAAGTCGCTGACCAGTGTGACTCTGCAGCTGAAGTTATTTGGTCGCTCCAAGCCTGTGTCCAACACATTATTAACCCCAGGCTGTAAAAAAAGAAGAAAAACAAAAAATAACATAGTAAAATCTAAGTACAGTGTATTTGATGCATGTGTCTGTACAATATCTGTGTGTGTGGGTGTGTGTCTGATGAGATGTATGTGAGCGAGCACTTAGCCTCCCTAGAAGTTTCCACTCCACTAGCTCTGACTTTTAGTCCCAGGTTTCTTTCTTTTTCTCCAAGCCCTTGTCCCTAATTCATAAGGTCGAGACAGGATGGAGTCCCTCCTCCAAAACCCTTGTCCTCTTATCCACCCGCCTCCCATTACCCCTTTCATCTTCCCCTCCCCTCTTTCCCGCGGCATGCACACGCACGTGAACGCTTTTTCCTTCCCCTTTGGTACTTCTCTCTGCCTGCCTGCCTCTATCTAAGAAAAAGATGTGGAACATGATGATGATGTTTTTCTTGCTCTCTTTGTTTGTCCCTCTGTTGCTCTCACTCTCTCTATGTCAACTGAGGCTCTTACCGGATAGGTTGAATATTTCATGCAGAAGGGAAAAGGGACTGTGGGTGAACTTTAGTGGGACTGCTGTCTGCTTTTATGCTGGGATACAGCTTTAATAGTTGCCAAGTATAGAGATGATCATGTAGTTGTGCTGTAGCATAGCATGTACAGCACAGTACAGTTGAATACAGTGCAGTGTTATTGAGCGTACCGGGGGTCTGTTGATGAGCCAGTAAGCCTGCTCCTGACACTCCAGAACAATGCGGTCAGCCTTCCGCCTCTGTTTGGACGCTCTGAACATAAATCACAAGGTTAGTTCGTGCACGCTGGTAAACGCACGTGTGTGTGTGCGTGTGCGTGCATGTTTGCGACAAAGTGCACCTGAGTTGCTCTCTGGCTTGCATCACAACAAAGTCCCAGGTGTGGTTGATCCTCTTGTGCAACAGACTGTACCTTTCCTAAAAAAGGAAAAGGAAAAGAGGGAGGAGAGGAGGAGGAATGATGACACAGACTTCTTGGCCCAAATTTTCCTGGTGCATATTTCATAACACAAACAAACACACACAAACACACTTTCTCTGTCATTTAGATGCACAGACATGCATACCCACATGATTTCCTCACCTTCTCATATTCCATCAGTTCGCCTTGTTTTCTTATATTCTTTTTAGCCAGATAGATTGCTGTTGGGATATAAGAAAGAAAACAAAGAGAAAGAGGTGAAATCAGAGGTCCAAAGACCTGCACCTGTGTTTATTAGATGTTATAAAGGCTCCTTTCTGCCTTCAGCTGCTCACTTATTCACATGGGTCTTCACAGCAGGTAGCTCCGCATATTTGATTTGGGATTTTTTTTTCCTGGGTCTCCTCCTGGTCTCAAACTGGGGTTCTCTTATGTGTCAGGTGAATGTATAAACCACTAAAGTATAAAAACTCTTAGTCGTGTAGGATTTTTTCACAAAGTGTTTCATATAAATAATTTTTAAAAAGAGAGAAAAAGACAGGACTCGTAGGATATATGTAAAAAAGAGCTTACATGTTCGTAATCATCATTATATAATGTTTTATATATGACATGTCCACTGGGAAGTGGACATCGTCCCTCAGAGATCACATGTATATTTAGAGTTTTTTCTTACCATAGTCCAGCTCTGACGCGGGCCACCTGGTACTAGTCCAGAAATAAGGAGTCTGTGAAAAACACAAACAAAAAAAAAACTAACTAACTAAAAGCAACATTTTTCTTTTTCCTTTTTATTTTTTTTTTCTTGACTGAAACTGATGTTGAAGCAGTTGATGAAAAAGCAGCAGACTGGCAGATGGATGAGGGATTAGGAAGTGGGCTAATGGAGTGAGAGTGAAAATGGGAGATGGGCACTAATAGAGAGAAGGTGATGTTTTACTGAAAGATTGATGGAGGAAGGGCCAGGGTTGTAGAAAGTAGGCAGAATGGACATACTGAGCGGCCTGACCTGGAAGCGGTAGGGTGACTCATCGGGCCGTAGCACAAGGCACCTCGGCTCTTTGAGGGGGTAAATGTATCCATATTTCACCAGCATGTTGCCAAGGTGCAGAGACTCTGTCGAACACCACAGGAGAAGTCTCAATCATCTCACCAGATTGTTATTCAGGTTTTTTATTTATCACCGTGTCATGTCTGATGGCACCTGAGAGGGGATGCTGATTTGATTAGGACTAAAGCTTTTAGACTGAACTGACTAAGTAGCTGTGACTGGAAAAGAGCTGTTGGCACTGCACTTTTCTTTATCACACATGTGAGCATTGTCAACCATCTCTCATAAATCAAGGCTTTGCTCCAGGGATGGAATGCCTCATCAATCTTCAGTCTCTCCTCATTTGTTAAAGAGCCTTACTTTTTTGAGTGACAGCTCCCAAAAAAAGCCATGGGATGCTTTTTAATCAGCTTCTACCACTCTCTCTCTGTCTCTCTCTGCCTGACTCCACTCTTTTCTTTCCTGCTGCTCGGAAGCAAAAGGGACCAGCGGGCTACTTTTTTCCCCCTCAACGTCTAATTTAGTTGAAAATCTCCTGAGGTGGAGATCTCTTTGGGCACACTAATCAAACTCAGATCATCAGGTGAGTTAATCAGACCCAGTCCCACAGGGGCTAACCCCATTCCTGTTTACTGGAAACATCCTTCCCTACGATGCACACACAAATAACTACCTACCGCGTCAGGCACCATATCCTGGCAACACACCAACGACACACAACATGCCGCTCACACAGAGACAGGAGAAAAACAGCAGATACATAACAGTCAATCATCAAGCGCACATTGTATGCATCTGTACACCTACCCTCCTCGCTGATTCTGTATTTGTGTGTCAACCAGGCAATTATATCATGGCCTGTAAAAGAATGGAAAGAAACAAGAGGGGAAGTGAGGAAAGAAGTTCCTCTCCAATCTTGGCAAAGCACACGGGATTCTCAAAAAAATGAATGCTGAATTATGTATGACTGCTGGGACAAAGTCAAGCTGCAATGTACCTGTCCACCCAAGCGCACTGATTCTAATGCGTACTGACACAAGAGCATGACTCACACACACACACACACACACACACACACACACACACACACACACACCTGTCATGGCGTGTGGAATGACAGTTATAAGAAGCCTCTGGTTTCTCATCTTCATGCCCATGTCAGGGTCCTGCATGGCTACTATCACTTTCTCCATCTGCAAGGGAGACACACACACACACACACACACACACACACACACACACACACACACACACACACACACACACACACACACATATGTAAACATGCAGCTGGGCAACAAGAATTGGACCACTACACGAATAATAACAACAAGAACAACAACAACAAAAATAATGATAATTTTACCTTCATTTGTTTTTCTTCTTTAATCTAATGAAATGTGTTGGATTTGTGCAGCGCTGGATTTCCAGGATATTCTGTGACAATAAATAAATACAACCAAAGAGAACGTGATCAAGCAGTCTTACCTTTCGAAAGCATGCCATTTGCTCCCGATGACACCCTCCTTTAGCCAGGGTGTTGATGGTCATCTTGCGGGATGCTTGGGATCACTCGACGGGACGGCAAAGTGCAAAAGCAAAGCGCTACCGGGAGAGCGAGAGAGAGAGAGAGAGAGGGAGAGAGAGAGAGCGCGAGAGAAGAGAGAGAGATGGAAACACCAGGCTGTCCCGTGCCTGCCGGGCGCGCGCGCGGCTGTGTAGATTAGAGAGGATTACAGGTCAAATAAATTTTTACTCAAGAGTTTCGGCACAAAAGAGGCAACTAGCTTTTCTCTGTTTCTTTTTACAGATAGGCTACATGACGAACTGAAAATGAAAAAATATAGCTGTATACGAAATGTAGGCCTTACCAAAGCGTACCATATCAAGTTCTTTCGCTGTTATTTGAATATTGACATATATTTTTTTTAAAAATAGTTTTATATTTGCAGAGAGCGTTTGGCTTGTGTACTGACCTGATAAGGGTAATAAAGATAAAGACACTGCATATTAGTATGTGCTGTGAGCTAAATAGCTAAAAGGTTGAATAAAACATGACAGGTTGCTGAAATGTGTTGAAGTGATTACATTAGTCAATAAATAGATGAATAAGCAAGCAACCTTGGTATTTTTTCATTTTATGCCATTAAAAACAATAAACTGGCCCTGAATGTATGAGCTAAGAAATACATTTGCAGTTAAACAAATTTTCATAACAAAAATTCTTAAAGATGCTTTCTCCGCTTACACATATTAGCATATCAGCAATTACAGTCATTTCGAAATGAACTGGTATTTTGTATCTTAAAATATCTATGACAGCAAACACTGGTGCTTAATCATTTATGTAGATTAAAATGGTTAAATGTTTTAATGAGGATGTATTGTATATATTCATAACCATCATTATATTTATGGCAAAGTAGCTACATATTGTTACGGATTTTGTTCCCGTCTCTCTTTACTATATCCGTAGATGTTATTGTGATTTTGTCATATGGTTGTTAGCACAGAACATATTATATATATATATATATTATATATATATATATAATATGTATATATATATATATATTATAATATATATATAATATATATATGATGTGTCATTATGTGGAATTAAAGATAAAATTATGAGAGGGAAATAGTTCTGTTTTTGCTTGGTAAAATAATTTACACAAAAAGAATTTAATTTAATTTAATTTAATTTAATTTAATTTAATTTAATTTAATTTAATTTAATTTAATGCGTTGACAGTTTACATACACATGATTAAAGACAATGATTGAACGTCAATGGCTGTCATTTTTGTGCCACACAGGCTTCCGTAGTAGCAGGAAGCAGTTCCGTCGTCTTTTGAGACCTTTCGTGGTCCTGTTTTCAGCTAATTTTTGAAAGGAAATAAGAGCTTTTGCTGAGGTAAGTTCTTAACTCCTGCTTTTTGAATACTGCCGGGTTAACTGTAACGCGTAAGCTCTGTAGCGAAGGAAACAGCTAGTGTTAGCTGGCAGCTAACACTAGCTGTAGCAGGATGGAGCAAACCATTGAGGAGACTCAGTGTGGAGCTGGTCCACTCCAAAAGTATTGACACTATAGACACGGCAAAAGTCATAGGCATAATTTAACTTGAAACCAGAGTTAAAAAAATCACTGTCCACTGTTCCGTCATTTTGGATGATAAAACAAGCTAATGTTTTTGTTACATCTAATGTGCTTTGTTTGTGTTGTTTTCTTTCTGTGGCACATGTCACAGTGTGTCAAGATTTAAACAAAAGTCTGCAACATCTTAACAGCCCACCATGCAGTGTTGTTTAAAGCCTACAGAGCCACTGTTACTTCATGAATTAAAACCGTTTAATACTTTCACAGATGGAAGAGATACAGCCTTGTTACCATGGACTTTTCATTAATACACTTCACTTCTGATCATCATATTTAACGTCTTTCACAGTGTTTATGTGCCTCTGTCAGGTTACAGATGGGTGACATCCGTCAGTCATTGCTGCCTCGGGATGTGCTGAGTGCAGCCAAGGAGCTGCTGTACCACCTGGACATTTACATCTGTAACCTGGTGCAGTCTGGGAGGCAGCCTCCTCAGGTTGACTCAAAAACCCTGGAGCTGGTTGAGGAATTCATTCTACATGCACCCAAAGATAGAAACACCCCAGCCAGGGTAAACTGGGATCCCAGAATGCTTAAGCACCAATGTATAATATGTAAACACACAAAAGAAATCAGTCAATAACTCAAGTGTGGTTTTTTTGTTTTGTTTTTTCTTTCAGAGAATGAGTGCTCTTCAGGAGCTCCAGCTGTTGGAGATCATGTGCAGCTGTTTTCAGGAGCAGAGTCGTGATGCTGTCCGTCAACTTATGTTTGCTGCCCTTTTTAATCTCCAAGGCAACCAGGCAGATGAAAGCCGCATGGCACTGCTGGGCAAATTGGTCTCCATGGCTATTGCTGTGGGCAGGGTTCCTATCCTGGAATGTGCTGCTACCTGGTTGCAGGTGAGGACTCAATCACACAGTCCTGTGTTGTTAGTAGTGAAATCATGAGGTCAGGGAGAAATGACAGAAAAACACAACCACAACTGTTCTTACACTAGACTTTGATACCTGACAGGGGACGTTGTTGCATCTAGACGATGTATTGCTTCAGTGATGGTGCCATGTGTAATTTGACCAGTTTCACCAGCCCTTATCACAGTTGGAACTTTGATGCTTTAAGGTCTATATTTTTCTCCTGACACTGTCTGGACCTGATGTGTCAAGAAAGGATTGCATGTATGTGTCCCTGTACTTTGGATGTACTAATCGTAGGCTTCTGATTATGTTTGTGCTGTGCAGAGAACCCATCGTGTGTACTGCGTACGCTTGGCGCAGGTGCTGGTAGATGATTATTGCAGTATGGTCCCAGGCTCTGTGCCCACCCTGCAGAATATCCACAGTGCAAGCCCACGCTTCTGCTGCCAGTTCATCACTGCTGTCACCACTCTCTATGACTTCACTTCAGGTAAAAAAAAAAATAAAAAATGCATGTAAAAACATGGAAACTGTTTGAAAAAAGACTGACACGCCTGTGTTCGTTGGGGGAACATCTGATATTTAACACTTTTGTGTGTGTTTTCAGAGGAGCTCACCCCCCCACTCGAACTCCTCCAGATGATAGTATCGTGGATCCAAGATGACCCTCATCTAGTCCTGATCACCTTCCTGAACTCGCCCATTTCCGGCAGCCAACCGATCACCTCGCTCGATGTCACACCGTTAGGGGGTTTGGTGCGCTGGTGCATAAAAGCACCGCTGGTCTATAGGAGAGACAAGAAGCAGGCGCTGACCAATGGAAGCTCTGAGAATGAGCCAGAAGTAGGGCCTCTCTTCTCTGCACTCCATTTAAGTGTCCTACAGGTTTGTGTTTGTGTTCAGATCCATTCAGTAAAAGACACATTGTACACGTAAACCCTTGCAACGTCCACAGAGAAGGTCATTAGCCATCTCCTCCTTCTTCCTTATTTAGGTCTTAATGCTTTTGCCCAACATACTCAACGAGAAGGGGCTTTTTGGTCGCCTGGCACTGCTTCAGATGGAGTCCTTGGCTGCTCTGACATCCGATCTTTCCCGACTTTTGGACCAGGCTGACAAACACACGCACACGTCGTCCGCTGATACACTTGCACTGTCCCAGCTGGCCCTCGACCGGCTGGCCCAAGCCCTGCAGGTGGCCATGGCCAGCGGAGCCCTGCTCTGCTCAAGAGGTAACAGTGTGGAAAAAGGGTGTCGTGAGTGCCTTTACATTGTTGTGCCTGAGACTGGAAATTAATGTAATATTCAGCTATTCAAATCCAGCTCCATGTATGGCTTCTAAGTTCATTTTCTAAAAGAAACAAAATGACAACAAAAAAACACAGCTGTAGTTACAGTTAAGTCTGCCATGAACTCATCTGTATATTATTCTAAGCAAGTATTCTAGAGTCAAATATGTGGCCACCTGTCTGACAGCTAAAGCTTGGTCCAAACTGGGTCATGTCATCATGTCATGTGATAATGATCCCAAATAAAGCAGCAAATCTACAACAGAGTGACTGAAAAACAAAAAAAATTAGACTGTTACAACATCTCAGTCAGAGTCCAAATGTCAATCTGAGTGAAATGTTGAAGAATGAGCCAAAATTCTTCCACAACAATGTGAGAAACTGTTGAAGTCATACAGAAAATTATTACTTTGAGTTATTGCTGCTGAATGTGTTTCCAAAAGCTGTTGGATCGTGTCTTGTACTTAGTTTTTCACAGGACTGAGTAGAGTCCTGTGAAATCTTTCTCCTTCCTAGTAGATGGGTACATAAACTTGTCCCACATGTTGCAATTACTGCTTTATTTTTTCTCTTATCCTTTAAGTTAAAGACCTAAAAAGATTGAGTGCATTAGTATTTAAAGGCAAACTGATTTTTAAAATGTCACCTTGAAAATTGAGGAACTTTAACAAATGTTATATATGAAGGAGCTTTTAGAAAAGAATTTAGTAGCTAGGTAACCAGTTGTACTTTGTCTTAGCACACTGTCTTTTCAAACATAATGTTGTCTTCACAGAGGACCTGAGGGCCATCTGTTCCCGACTCCCCCACAACAAGTAAGATCCAAGAGTTTGTTGTTTAGTACATCATTTCCCTTCACAATGTGATATTTGCACAGTGTTGTCGCCTACACTGTGCTTCAGCTTCAGGGTTTATTTGTTTTCGGTTTTTTTAACAAAATTACATAAATGTACCATCTTATAACCAGCACCCTAGACTATATAGGAAGCTGGTTAAGGACTGAAGTTTAGGTGTTGAAGTGAAATCGAACAAACTTCCCCATTGGAAGAAATTTTACCGCTAAAGCCATTTTATTTAAACAATGCAGTATCTGTGCCTTTAATTTGATTACAGATTTAATTCCTGTGATTTTGGTTTTGTTTTGGCTTCTCATCTCATCTCAGTCTCATCTTTTTGTGTATTTGTGTTTCCAGTCTGCTCCAGTTGGTGCTGTTTGGCCCGGTGATGTACTACAACAACATCCACACATCTCCGCTGGCCTATAGTCCGCACGCCGCTCATTCACCCATCGCCCCGCTCCCTGCACTCCCCACACACCGCGCGCACACCCCG